CTTAGCATCACACTCTCCAGTTCCATCCACGTTGCTACAAAGAAGTTGTTTGTTTTTTAAACCATTTTTTTAAAATAAGTGAGTTTAATCTAGTGAAAGGGATTTTCTCCATCTTCTTTAAAAATTGAGATGTTTCTATATTTCAAGGTTAAACTAAATTAATATTATATTCTTCTCACTTCAGGAAAAATCCATGCATTTGGAAACACCTTAGGGATATGCATTTTATTATTTGAAGTTTGAATGCCTCATGTTTTCTAATCTTTAAATAAAGTATAAAAGCAAATTTAAAAATTTGCTGATAGATTTCTGTCTTGTGAGAAAGATGAAACTTCATGGAAAAAATAATAGACCCTTGTTCTAATCACATAGCTATGATCTCTTCAGTAATGTTGATTGAATTACTTGTGCATGTTATTGACAAAATGCCTTGTATCACTATTCTAATATTGCTATATAAAAAATAAAACTTTAAATAAGTTTGTTTATGGGAATAGAAAAATAAGACTACTATTACTTATATTGCCTATTTGTAAATGCTAGTAAATACAAACCATCAATCGTTTTCTTCCTCCAGATGAGGGGTATGTCTGATAAATCACTCCGGCTAGTGCTGTCTACCTTCAGGAACATACGGGAAGAGCTTGGACATCTTCAAAATGACTTGACAGTAACACTTATTTTAATTTTTCTTTCCAAAGACTTACTAGTCCTTACCTTTCTAATGTAGAAATGAAGTCATTTAATCTACCTTGCAAAATTCAATACAATGCAACAATATTATGCTCATTTAGACATATATTCTTGAAACAGTTACTTGGGGTTGAGAGAGGAAATAAAAGATCCCCAATGTCAAAATGAAAAAAGTTGGGTATACACTTATTATTTAGTTTGACACAAAGGTAATTTGATACCTAGAGCCAGGAAGTAGCTTCCAAAATTAGAATAGTCTAACCCATTGAATGGGAATTTCCCCTTTTTTTCTGTAATAATAAAGCATACTTTGAATTTCTTAGAATACTTGAAAACTCCTTTCTCTAAGAACTTAACCTTTTTAGTTGGTGGTTTTGGTGCCATTATCTAAATATATTTAGAATACCTTGAGCCTTTTTAGTTGGCATTCTTGGTGGCATTATCTAAATATATTTAGAATATCTTGCATACAATGAAGCCTGGAGTGGGTTATTTCATTTCTGGGTTCTGATGAACACATTTAGATTATAATTTGAAAATTCACCATCTGCTGGGATTAACAAAAAGTCTTTGTAGATTGGGGCAAAACATTACAATAATTTGAAGGTTCTGCTTCATTGAACTTAGAATTGGTTCATCAAATGTCTCTTAGAATGCAAATTTTTAAAGTTTCATCCATTTGTATCCTATATTTTGCTTGATTTTTTAGAATTATGTTTTATTAGACAGCTGCAAATGGACCAAGTGTTTATTTAAGGCTTCAAATATAAACAAATCTTTGTATTATGTGATTGTTGACAAGTTCTGAATTATAACAAATAATTTTGCTTCTAGGCACTGGAAAATGACAAGATAAGACTTGAGAAAGACTTGGCATTCAAAGAAACTCAAATAAAAGAGTATGAAGAACTCTTGGCATCAGTGAGAGCAAATAATCGCCAGCAGCAGGTAAGTTGATATTTTCATTGATGATAAAGTAGATTGATAGATTTTCATATGCACAATTATTGACACATTGTAGTTATGACATATAATACAGACAGAATTAAAATATGATGGAACAATTTATTCATATGAGACTTGAGTGGCTTTGGTTATTTACAATGACTTAAAGACTTCTCATAAGAACAGATAACCTTGTATGATATAGATATAAAGTATATACAACCCACAATTATCTGTGCTGTTGGGAGACAAAAATTGTATAAATATTGAAGAGGTAAGTTCACTCATTCATTTAATCTACTAATATGTTGATTAAAAAGGTTCTGTAGTCTCAACACATGTTTGTGCAGTGAATAAATGAATAAACTCTGGAAGTATTATCCAGATGTCTGAGCAGAGATGATTCCTAAGAAATTGTTATGAGTCCCTAAGGCTCATCCCTTCCTAATCTTCACGCCTATGACAGTCTCACATTTTTTCTCAGTTTCCACCTAAATAATCAGGTATATCATCATTTTGGTGCCTATTAGAAGGCAAAATATTGTCAAAGAGTAGCAAGAGTCAGATTGCTAAATTGGAACACTGAAAATTTGTTCAGTCTTAATTCCTTCTCATTCAAGATAAGCATATCACACTAGGGGCAAGAATCTATTTTATGGCTGATCTAATTTACCATGTAAGGGTAAATATATAATGGAAAAATATTTGCTTTATTTCATTGAATTAATCAACTAAGAGAGTACTCTCCTCCAAAAAAGTAGATCCTTTTGTCTTATTTATTTGTGTCTTTTTTATAGCAAGGACTTCAAGACTCTACCTCAAAATGCCAAGCATTGGAAGAAAACAATCTCTCTCTTCGATATACATTATCAGACATGGAATATAAACTAAAAGAACTGGACTACTGTAAGCGTAATTTAGAACAAGAGAATAAAAATATCAGAATACAGGTATTAAAATTTTGTTTTAAATACACATTATTGCCTTAGTTATACCATTGTAATCCTAGAATTTCCGACAGTAAATATATGAATATCTTACATGTGTATATATCCCATTCCTCTTGAGAAAATATATGGACTGCTTTCTGATGATTTCATATGTGGTTATGTCTCATCTCACTGCCATTTGAACTATATAATGCAATTCCTAAACATCACTCTTGTTATTTCAATGCTTTGTTTAATCGTGTGATTTTCATCTTATAATAAGTCTTATAATATAATATGTATTTCTTTCATAACAATCCAAGTACGGAAAGTTATTTTGCCTTCTGTAGGTTTCTGAGACTTGCATAGGCCCGATGCTGCAGGTGAAAATGGATGAGATTGGCAATCATTACATGGAGATGGTAAAAAACTTACGAATGGAGAAAGATAGAGAGATCTGCAAGTTAAGGGTATGTTGATCCTCCAGTGCATAAATACACAGGTCAGCACAAAGTTTCTAATAAGATTATGATGGTTTCAAGTTTAAAGCTACAAAAAAATCAACTAAAGGTAGAGTCAGGAATATGGCATAGAACCTTTTTTAAATACATGTTACTGTGTATAGATATTGCTAAATTGTTTTCTAATTTAATCTTGTTAAATTTAATCACCTTAATTTAATCATGTTAACCTTCTCTATAAAAGCAAAATAAAACATTAAGTTCAGTGTTTTGGTTTTTTATTTTTATTCATTTACTTTTAGTGGTTGGGAGGAACCCGTTATGATTTTGCTTACAGCATGCTTGTGCAGTCAAAAGCAACATTTGACATTATCCAGCAAAACCACAGTTTGATTTTTAAAAATCCTCACTTGACTTTGAAGGATGATACATAGCAAGAACTTTGTCAAGCACAAGGATAAAAACAGTGTTGAATTATGTACCTTTAATTGGCTTCAAAATTAGGATTATATTTGTGAGAATAAGTATATGTTACCTTATCTTGCAATTCTACATCAAATTGATTAATTCTTAATTTAATGATTCCTAAAATAGTTAAATATACTTAAATATTTAATGGAAAAACTGACCATAGGTTTTTCTCTCCAAATACCACCATAGATTTTTTTCCAAAAACCAAAATGAAACAAAATGTAGTGTGTTCAAAAGCCTACCAATTTTTCTAGAAGATTACCTTCACTTGTTTCTTTTTCATCCTAACATAACTAATAACACTTCAACTTAACATCCGTCTATGTACACATAATGTAGTGCAGAAGAAAATGAGTGGGGTTTGGAGTCAGAATACCTGTTTTGGAATTGCAGCTATGTTGCTTACTAGCTGTGGCACTTTATGTCATATAACCTCTCTGGTAATCTCATTTAACTATTTTGTGAATAGGATTTTTTTAAAAATTTTCTTAATGTTTATTGATTTTTGAGAGAGAGAGAGAGGGAGAGAGAGAGAGCATGAGTGGGGGAGGCACAGAGAGAGAGGCAGACACAGAATCCAAAGCAGGCTCTAGGCTCTGAGCAGACAAATCATGCCAGAGGAATACTTTGTGAACTATAAATCACAATACAATATTAGTTATTATTAGTGAGTTTTCTTTAATTAATATCTGAAGGAATCTAAAGTACCTATTTCTTAGCTTTATTTTAATCTTTGTGGCCTAGGACTGCTACTTAAGTAATGCTTAGCCCTATATAGTAAAGACACCTTTAAAAAATGAGAAATTCTTATTGGCATTTTAATTCACATTTTTTATTCAACAAACTCTACAAATGTTTACAACTATTGGCACTTTGCTCTTCATTTCATAATTTCCTGTATGACTTTATGCCACTTAACCTCTTGGAACTCAATTACCTATTTTGTAAATCATATCTATAATAATTCTTATTTCTTTTTAATCACTAGACTCAATTAAATCAGTACCAAAAAGATGTTTCAAGAAGAGAAGGAACTTGCAGTGACTTCCAATTCAAGCTTCATGAACTGACAAGCTTGCTGGAAGAGAAGGACTCCCTTATAAAACGTCAGTCAGAGGTAAGAAGGGAAGTGATAGAGATGGAGAGGAACTCAGTTAGGTATGATAAATACTTCCCATGAATTAGACAAGGGCACGTTTCCAAGACTCACTTTATTCATTAAGTAGAATGTAACTACGAAGAAGAGCAACATTCATATTTGAAGAGATATAATTCAAATGAAAGCAAGAATTAAAGCAAAAAGAGTGCTATTGTGCATTTAATATTTGCACCTTTATATCTCATTAGCAGTGAAACTTCCAGGAAGACTGTGAGCTCTTTACTAGAATATTAGCTGCTTCAGCAAAGGACTGTGTTATATTCCTCTCTGTATCTGTAGCATGTGGTCCAGGATCTGTAATAAAATAGTTTATATTGAAGAAAGGAACTACCAAAAACGGTGGCTGATGTTATATTGTTGTTATTGAACTAATGGTGTTTGTAATAATGATCAGTGATAGATTTTCAGTTAGAAAATAATACCTGCTTCCATATTGAAGTTTTAGTGCTTTTCTGCTATGACTATACTTTTCAAACTTTTTAGGGCAAAAACTTTCACATCTTTGAGAACCATGTCCATTCAATATCATGTAATCCCTCAAATAAAGAGATCCTACACCAGTTAGTGAATCCCTGCACAGGCATATAATGTAACTTATTTGGCACCATAAAGCAATAATATAAGGTATTTAACAGATGGGATTAAAACACTCTTATGTCCAAGCTAAAGGGGGAGGAAAAAAAGTAATTATTCTTACTAACCTTATTAAATGATCAAACATGCTTCTTACCTCATGTTTCTACTTTTTTCAAATAATTATATTTTCTTTTATTTGTAAGGAACTCTCAAAATTGAGACAAGAAATGTATTCATCTCATAACCAACCCTCCAGTGGTGGAAAGACTACTATTATCAAAAAAAAGTAATGTATTTTTAAATGAAATTTGAATGCAACTTTGGTTATTATATAATCCAAGTTATAGCATGTTTAATTTATATATATATATATATATATATATAT